AAATCACTGACTGAATAAGCAGTTAGTCATGTAAGCGGCTGATCGCTGAACCACCTTGAACACATGTAGCCAAGAAGAGAGAACCTGAGACATCAGAAGGACCCTGCATCACAGATGGTTGTCAACATATCTATAATAAATAACCACATCAACTGCAGTGGTGGTATTGGGTTGGGCAACTTGATTACACACAAGCATACACGGCACGCTTTATTGCTCAAAGATAGTTTTGGTTAAACAACTATGTGTGGTTGGCAGATTTAGGATAAATCGTGGTTGAGAAGTCCATCATTATGCTTAAGTGGCAGTTTCTAGTGTGGCATTATGAATAATTAATATGACAATGCTTGGCTATATCAACATTCCATTACCATTTTCTAAATGCCACTCACTTCCATAAAAGACAATGTGCAGTAAACATTTTTGCTGAATGGAGACGCTATGTCTGAGTGCTATGAAGTTTCAGTTTGAAGCTGCACTGCCTTATAATTGATTTTCCTTGCTTTAATCGTCTATTTGATTCTATAAAAACAAGACATGCAATGGGTAGGTACTTACATGGATGAATGTACGGTAGCATATAAAGGAAAGTCATTATTTTTACCAAAGCGCAAGCTTTCGCAAAATATGACATAGAATGTACAAAATTGTTTATAATCGGGAAAAGTTGGAAAGCGCCTTGAGTCAATGTTTCTTCATGGCAGTTACCAAAATAACTAACAATTTGGTTATTGCTTGTAACAAATACACAACGAGTTTTAATATAGCTTTGCTCCTCATCAGCAGAACATGGGTTCCTCTCTTTTTAATTAAAAAGGTTGAATTTGACTTAAAATACAAACTAGGTCTAACCTTAACAGATAAAAGGCTACTACTACCATTTTCCAGATAGCACAAATCAAGATCATCTTAATAATTCTGCAATGCTTAATTAAAACTCACAAAATCACACTTTGCGAGCTGAACAGTTACTGAGCCTGACTGAATGATATGATACAATATAATGATTCCCAAGGAGAAACTTGTCTTGGATTTGCAGCACTGCTGGTCCACCATAATTAACACCATATTGTTATTTTTCTTTTAACAGAGTGATATCACAAAGTCAGTTTGTTTCCCTCTGTGACTCAAGCTGTGAAACAAGTGTTATTTACCAAGCAATGAAAATATCCTCTTTCTTCAAAAGGATCTGAGGTGAGACCTAAAGTGGGAAGAAATGTATCCGTTGGCTCATTATTTTTCCTGCCACTGGACACCCACTTACAACATGGTTACAATTAAATGGTGAAGACAGAGTTTAAAATAAGTAAACACTTAAAGTCCTTATTACTCAGTTCTGCAACATTTGCTATTGTTATCCATAGGCTCAGCATGTCCAAAAAAGTAATTACTTTCGCCAAAGTAAAGACACAGTGAATATGGTGATATATTTAAAATAACAAGGTTCGAAATATTCCAAGTAAGAAGGTTCGGTAGGGTGTGTGCAGATTTTGGGTGTAGTATCACATTAAGTTCCCTATTCAGCAACCATCAAATTTAGAGATCTGCAAAAGTGGTATTTTGCAACAGTACACATAGTATTTCCGTGGAAACGTCTCCACATGCGAGTTTCGATGTGCCATTGTCACTACAGTACAAACATAGTCCTACACACCCCCACCACTAAATATGTTCAACACACACCTTGACTGAAGCCAGGTTAATGTTCACTGTTATTAAAGCTGTTACAATGAGAATGTGGTTGGTGTTGTCCCGACCACATCCTCCCATCTTTTTTCTAGAGAAGCAGTTCAACAAGAACTGAGGGCTCTGACTGACAGTGTGAAACACGCTGCCTTGTTAACACTGGTCCACCCCTTCACATCCCCCTTTTCAGTGCAACATTCAATCACTCATAGCTGTCAAAAGTATAAACAACTGCCTTGAAGAACATATTGGCATGCAGACAAGGGCAAGGCTTGCTGCATACTTAATTTTCCTGATAGCCTCAGAAAGGAATTTCTGAGTTACATTACAAAATAAGTGATAATGGCATCCTATGTTTACCTTCTACATCTATTAAATAATTTACCAATTTGGGATAGATAAAGTATCTATCCATCTATATATCTATCTAAAGCGACATTTACTTATCATGTATCTTACATTTTTAACATCACTTTTCAACGTGTCCACATTATTAATACAGTGTTTATGTAACAAGGAACAAACATCAGTGAATTAGAAATCAACATCAAGTCAGTCTTTTCAAATATGATCTCTAACATTTTGGTTTTTTAGTGTTTATGTAGCATTGCAACTTTATTAAATAAGATTGTTTTCTGTCTTGACTAAGAATTGCCCTTCCTGCATCAAACCAAACCTTGGTAACAGTCAATGTTCTCTTAGCGTTAACTTAACATGACATTCATTTATGGCTTCAACCAATTGGAAGTCTCTGCTGTGACTCACTTGCTGTTTATCCGTCCGTGTGCTGTGTTGCTAAAGAAACATCAGAAAATATTTTAACGCTGACTTGTGCACTTCCCTTTTTTCTAATGTCCTGTCATAAAGGCTTTGATTGTCGTGCGATATGGCACTTATTACATTTAAATCATTGGGCATTTTAAAATGAATTATTGCCTGCATGGATACCCTGGCACTAGACAACCATGATAAACAATGAAAGGGTTTTCATGTGTTATAAAGAAGCCTTTCGTTGTCTCCTCTTTCAAAAAAGGTTTTGAGGGGAATCCAAAATGTCCTAAAAAAGGAGAGAAAAATCTAAATGTCTTATTCAAATAAGCTTCCTCCCATTTCCACAGACTATAACTCACATAAGTGGACACATCATTGAAACAAATCACACTCAAATGAGCTGGGAACTGAGACAGCTTCTTGTGTAGTGAGAGATTACTTGGAACGTTACAAGGCAGAAATGTCAATATAAACCCATCAATCTCCAGGCAGAGGGCACGTCTAAGTTCAGCACCTACAATGTGCCAAGAATGTGTTGCCAGTAATACCTGCTGACAATACGGTGCACAGCTGAACCCCGTCCACTGCCAGAGACTGTACTCAAAGCTGGGAAATCTCTCCAAAGCATCAAATCAAAGACCTAATAATGATATTGATTTGCACATGGTAAAAGATTTAGGCCACCAAATTCACTTAAACACACCAGACTATGCTATTTGAAAAGTGCTATTCAATAAATTCCTTATGCAGCTCATGCATTTTAATGTAGCTGGCCCTAGAGGGAATACAATCCCTGAGCCTGACTACTAATTTACTGACCTCTAAAAGCCAAATGCAAAACATCAAAACAAGAGGCGCCCATTTCTGACATCTCTGTCAGGATAGGATTTCCACACTACGGTAATGTTCTGTGGGGATAGACTGCAGTTATTGTGAAGATAATTTAATAATGTAAAAAATAATGAATCCTTTGTTTAGTCAAACAAAGCAACTTCCCTTCACCTTTTTCAAACGTGTTCATTTACAATGATATGGCTGACATTATGACAGCTACAGCAGTAGAGGCTGTGAACGTATAGTACAGTGTTGCTGACATTAGCTACAGACAATGTTTCAAAGGTTTTCAACATACAGTAGATTGATGCAATGCGAGGAAGTGTCATCATCTTTGTAAACCCTTAAGCAATACTACCAACGTTCACACCAGTGAGACGGGTAAAGTAAAGCGCAAAGCTTTAGACTGGAGTTAGACTACAAATAGACTACAAATGTGAATCTGTTTAAAAGGTGTGTTGGTTATTTGCATATCACTCTGAAACGTGTGCATTTCAGCAGTTATGAAGAGCACCAAGAATCAGCACCTGGAGCAGGTTAAGCCTAGAGTGGCTGTCAGGGATATTCTTTCATTTCCTAAGTTTCCTTCATAGTCATTTTAGATATGTTGTTATGTTACTAATTATTATTAAGAATGCGCACATGACCAATGAGGGCACGAGATAAGTTTGTGCACAGATGGAAAGCTGACAGGCAGGTAGGCCATCCAGTTATTTTAGCCGGGCCGGCTAAAATGATTGGTCATGCTTTTTACAGTACTAAGGCTTCCACAGATGACATTTTTCATGGATTTTTTGTCAAAGCACTTCAGATATTCATTGCTATCGGGATGTTAAGAGCATTCCATGGAATATAACAAAAAGTGTATATCGAGCCGGTTTCTCAAAATTACCTACCCCACCTTTAAGTCAACATACAGAACATTGAGGAGCCCTGCATAATATTGTATTACCAGTAGTCAGTATCAGTATCATGCTACATTATTTGCTGCAGTACTGTACAGGCTGAACTGTATATAGGCTACATACTACATACATACATATTATATAGTATACATATTGCAAATGTTATTGCATGGTATTCACTGTCTTTGCTGTTGAGCTCTCTTTGAAAACACTATTCATTCATCTCAGTCACCTTGAATACATGTGCAATCTTTATTTTATAATGTTCTAATATCTGTGAAACATGTCTGTTTTAGCGTCTTCATTGTTAAAATAATGGCCATTTAAACCACATTCTTCTTGTTGAATGAGTTGAGCATTTACAATTGTTTCTGACATACATTTCACTGCATTACTTCTCTGCTGTAGCAAATGTTTCCCTTCTGGAAACAATAAAGAGAATCCCATCTTATGTTGTCTTTACAGGCATGTAGACAAAGCTACATTACTGGCATTCAAAATCAGTGAAGATAAGTGATGCTATACTTCTGTGCAATATATTAAGACAAAGTACAGGATGTGCTTCTGGTGTTCACATGACCGGCCTCTCTTGTGAAAACCACCTATTTAACTGAAATGTAACGTGTAACCATGTAATAGGCGAGGTTAATAACAAGCAGCAAAATAAGCTACAAAAGAGATGAATAATAAAGCAAGGGGGTTTGAATTGTAACTCCCAACACCTATGTCCGGTGTCAATGTGCAAGCTACAGTAGCTTACCATATTGAATGACAAAACCCGGAGACTTTAACTTCAATGTTTACCTTGATAATGCTGCTCCTGCGTGGTATTTCTGATTTGCCATCCAATCCGACAGAGGTGGTGGCGCTTTCCCCGGTTTGGTTGCCAGGTGCGACGATGGACCCTGAACCGACCATATTTTCTGATATCCCACAATCTCCATTCAAGACGGACACTTCGCAATGCGTCTTCCCAGTTGCTTCGTCGCTGGGCACGGCCGTATCCTCAAGATTCAATGGAGGCAGGCAGCCGTCCTCCCCAAACTCCGCCATAGGCACTTCGAGCACACACACAGACACAAGCTGCTGGGTAGCAAAGCCTTATGTTTCAGCTTTACACCAATTTCCTGCCTGGCCTATTGCCCTGTTTTAACATTTGCCCGCGAGTCTTCTGCCATATCATCTCTCGGTGCACATATCTGGCAGGATCCTACAGACAGAGGGGCTTGCTCCGTGCACTGTGCTCTGTAAAGAGAAACCCCAGTGATTAGCATAATTGAGCAGCATGACATTAGTAACAGAAAATAGTAACAGCAATTCAGCGTTACGAAGGAGAAGCTTTCACATGTTGTGTTCACTGAAAGCGGATGTTAACTTGAATCAGTGAACGATGTCAATGTAAATGCAGCAGGATACAACGCATACAACCGATGTGCTTTACTATGTGTACGGGCTTTGTTGCATTGTTCTATAAGTTTACCGTGTGTAGCATACTTCAACCGTGTTCACTTCACAGACCGATCCATTGTTTTGCCTAAACCGTTGTAAACCCAGCCTCTTCAGTATGTCAGCAATCGGTAACGTTAAGTTAAATAATATTAAAAGCATGTTAAGTTATAGGTCAGTCCACTCTGCAACAAAACTCACGATTAGCCTATTGTAATACACGGATATGTTTGCACTTGCCTTGTTTCTCCATGGGCAGGACGGTCTTCATAAGTTGCTGCTGCAACTGGGCAAACAGACAGACTGCCGATTGCTGTCTATGTGCGGAGCTAGGAAGCCTGGCTAGCTTGCTCGGTGAAGTTAGTTTTCCAAGCCAAAATAAAAGTCCATTCAAAAGAACCCTATGTTGTTAGCCCGGTTCAGCTAACGAAGGAAGGAATGCCCTCCCCCGCCAGTCAGTATCGACAGTTAAAAAGAAAAACGACACTTTGCATAATTCATTACATCTCTATAAACCGTTGCTCAGATGAGTCGTCTACATAGTTGTGTATGTCTCGTGAACGCGCAACAGCCAACACAGGCTGTGTTGTCAATCAAACCTAATTATTATTGTTGCCTATAGACAAGAAACGCTCTTTCATTTTTGAAGAACAAATCAACCCGGATACCGGGTTCAACATTTTGCCTCACAGACCTCATACGCGTCAATTGTGGTGTGTAATCCAATTGATATACATTTTAATCGTATAGGGACAGGTGGCTGCAGCATATGAACCAATACCACAGCAGTGGAGTAAAGTAAGATACGATAAGATGGTAGGCCTACTTTATTGATCCCAATTTGGGAAATGTTTGTGTTACAGCAGCATAAGAAGACAAGGCAATGTACAATACCATAACAATTCAAAGACTAGAAATAAGCAAGAAAGTAGAACATATACATGTTGAATTTAACAAGGTATTATATATACAAATATATACATAAATATATGACAGAAGGAATATTAATATGAAATATAAAATATTGAACAGATTATATAAATGTAAAATGTGGTTTTATACCAAGAGAAACTATGGAGCAGAGAGTTCTCTTCCAGCCAGAGGTGATTTATTGTAACTAAGTAGATTTACTCAAGTACTGTGCTTGAGTACAATTCTGATGGACTTGTACTTTACTTGAGTATTTACATGTGTTGCTACTTTCTACCCCACTACAAATTACAGTTAAGTCGTGTACTTTTACTTCACTACATGTAGCCTATTTAATACCTTTAGTTACTTTGCAGATTTGGATAAATTATGTGAAATACAAACACTTAAATAAGACATTAATTAGACCTGGAGTAAAATTCTCTACAGCATTAAATAGGTAAAATTAGGTACACCTTTACCAGCTTTGATAACCCTTTTAATGCATCAATAATTATAAACAAAACATACATCAAATGTTGTTCTAAAATGGGCCAATTTGCACAATGAGTACTTTTAGTTTGGTACTTTCAGTATATTTTATGTACTTCTTACACTCTAGTAGTTTTACTTTTACTTACTTAGTACAATATCTGAGTAATTCTTCCACATCTGCACATACGCTTTCCTTGCGGTAATAGGTGTGTGTTTCTTTGTTAATATACATGTTGATCGTATAGGGACAGGTGGCTTTAGCTATGAACCAATTCCATAGCATTCACAGTTAAACATAGTTTGCAATGCGAGTTAGTGGGCATTTAAAATGCATAGCCTACTGTACATTAAAAGAGAGTATTCTCGTACAGCACACAACCTTAAAGAATAACTTCAAAACACAAAAGTCAACATTTGAATAGGCTACAAACAACACACAAGTCAACAAGAAAATCCAAAGAACAGAAACTTCAACAAGAAATGAGCCTAAAGTCAAAAAGTCAACAGGAAAATACATTAAAAACAACACAAAAGTCAACATGAATAGGAATAGACATAAAAGAAACTTCAAATAATCCAATAAGAAAAACATTTCAAAGCATAAAATATGTTTATTTTATAAACATTTCTGAATTATGCTCAACTAAAAACGTACTGACACAAGTTATGTACAAAAAAACTAACTGCTGAGTTACTTTCACTAGTAATTCCAGGAAACGTAGTGCTGTTCAAACTAAAAAGGCAGATCACAGAAAAAAAAGATGAAAGTGCTCTAAACAGAACAAGAATGAAAGTTACACTGAAAGCTTTCAATGGGTTAAAACACAGACCTCTGGAACTAAATCCTGGGGGTAAACCAATATACCGACTAATTAAAGGCTTTATATATAACTTTACTTATTTTCTGCATTGTGTGGCTGTACATTATCTCCTTTTCTTAATTATTAATAGTGTTGCTTTTTGATGTGCTTTATTCAGAGGCTTCTTATGACATCTCTCAAGGGCAGCCATTAGGTCTTAGAATGGCTCACATTACTTTTTTGTCAGGTCACACCCTTACACTGTGTCAGGTCTTCCTCTTTATGTAGACAGTGCATTGAGAGGATTAACCAACCTCGATGGTGGAGTAATATCCTTCTCTGAATAACTGCCTATTGTGCACATTAACCTATGTGACCAAGCAGAATTATAACATCAAGCATCAATTCTTAAAGATGACTTTGAAGTATTAGCCACACACGATAGAACACAATATCCTCGATGTAGTTCATATAGCCTTTACTATAGCCTCTTGTATAGGAGACACAGAGAGTGAGTGATGAGGCATAACATTGTTCTACATGATTTAATGCATGTTATTCATAGACCACTGGTTCAGATGAAGGCAGATACACTAAACACTAAGGGATACAAAAACAGGATGAATAGGGACCTGTACAACAGAGCCATCTGCTGGTCTATAAGTGGTGGCGATTGTTCTGGTTATTGAAAAGTGCATAAGTTCCTAAAATGCTATGTATATCCTTTTTGGAAAAATCACTGCCAAAGTTGATATTTTTAGCAACATTTTAAACTTCCAACAGTTTTGGCCTTTTCCCCCTTAAGCATTGTCTAATTTTGACACCTGTGCCTGTATATCACCTGGTTGTGATAATGTCAAAGTAATTGTTTTCTCAGGCCCCAAAAAGTTAACTTTTGGACTACCTATGTTGTGAATGTATTATCTTTTCAATTTACACACGGCATCTATTGCACGTCTGTCCGTCCTGGGAGAGGGATCCCTCCTCGAGGTTTCTTCCATTTTTCCCCATTAACTGTGGGTTTCTTTGAAAGTTTCTTCTTGTCCGATGTGAGGGTCCAAGGACATGTGTCTTATTGATATTCTGTATAAACTGTAAAGTCCACTGAGACACATGTAACATTTGGGATATTGGGCTATATAAATAAACATTGATTGATTGTTTGATTGAACTCCATAGAAAAAAATACAAATGTTGTTACACATTTTTTAATTTGTTTATGCTTCTCCAGTCCTGTTGGCTATATCTACCCAACATATGTATCATGCAAAGTATTGAGGAGGAACTGAACCCCAGGCTTAGACCATAGATCTAGTGTCAGCCAGCCTATATTCTATGAGACAAATAACATGAATTTAATCAACGTTGATATTTAAAGAAAATGACATTGCAGTCTTGACAAGACGAAAATGCTGTGAAAGTTGGAGTACTGTGATGATAGTTACCTCATTTGCATTTCTGCATAATAGATGTGCAGCATGTGTGAGAGTAACTGGATAAGAGTTGTTTTTGAATAAACTAAAGCCAATAGCACAGTTTATCAAAAACCCTTTATCATTTGAATTGTTGTAAAATTCATCCAAGGGGGTGGAATAAACCATCTTGAAAATGTAAGATGGCATTAAAGGGAACATTTAGATATTTAAATCCATGTCCCTTGATTAAGAATCTCTTATCTTTGGTCTCACTTATGATAATGTTCATAATGTACAGTAATGGTGTGTGTAATTACGGCTCCGGAAATGTCTTTGCTGTAGTTTGAAAGTGCAACATGTAGACTTCTTAATATCATTAGATAAGGGAATGTCAGTCTACAAACTCATATCGACTAACTGTCAAATGTCTGTTGAGCTTCACTGAGCAACTTCACCATTAACCTGATGTTACTGTTGGCTGCTACATAAGGCAATAAGCAATATAACCACAGCATTGGTTGCCCTAACTAACCTAATCCTTGTTAGAACATTGCTGTAGTTCAGATCAGCAGAAGTATTCTTTTCTTTGGCCATTTGGTGGGCAGTGCAATAAGCTTTAACATTGAGTTATTGTCAGTTTATAAAGTTGACATGTTGATCCTGATCCCAAATAATTGTCTATTTACACAATCAGCAGACAAGGAGAAGCATTAGCATCCACTGTCCATTGTGTGTCTTAGGCTCTTTGTACTGGCACTGTTGATGTAATTATAAACAAAATTGCCACTGGACGTTGTCACATGCATGATATATAGAGAGAAGAATGACATTAACTAAAGCAACATTTATATGCTTCACTTTAATCAAACAGAACAAACAACAAACCTTGAATTTTAAAATAGCCTTTATTCTATGATTATGTGTATGATTCATATAGTTGATACATATTATCTTGAGCATGGGTGGATTATCAGTATAATTATATTTCTGCTTGAGCTGAAATTGTTGCACATTTTAACATGAATGCCAAAGTACCATATGACAAACTTAAAGATTGTGGAGGTTAATTAAAATACAACAAAGGGAATATTTAAGAAAATTCTGATGAAGAATATCTATAGGCTTATATTTTAAACCCGTACTAAAACATCAGTACAAACTATAGTTGTACTTGTGTCATTTATATATCATCGTAAGCTTAAATTGATTATATATATAAAGTAGAATGCTTGGTAAAGCAAAGAATCAACACGGATGTAATTAGTCTGAACATTTTAGGTGCTGCAGATTCACCAGCTGATCTTTAGGCTATTGGGATGATTTCAGTGGTGCAGTTGCATGCAGCTGGACACCAGGCTTTCACTAGCCCATTGGTGCATCCATTCTGGTTTTTCAAGGTTGGACAGTTGAGGTATCTGTTAATGTAAGGACATGGGTTGGCTGGAATGAAACAATAAAGATGTTAGCTCATTGTCTTTTTTTCTACCTAAGTAGATAATATTCATTCAAATATATATTCTATAAAAAGAACCCAGAGTGTGTATTTGTGATCACATTTGTTACTTACTGCAGAGTTTGCCTTCACAGTCATTGGGACAGGAACCACACCGTGGTCCCTCTTGATAAGGTGGCCAACCCTTGAAGTTTCCTCTGTAAACAAAATTATTAACAGTATTTTACCCAATTTCAACCCCTTCAGTAATATATAATATTATATCATATTTTTCCACCACCGTTAAGTTCTCCCAGATATCATATGCATATAAGTCTAGGGTTTTATGGGTAGGGAATGTAAATGAGGATCACATACGCTCGGTAATAATGGCAAGCATAGAAATAGATGCCGTTGGGGCACAATTTCACACCACAGCCAATTTTGTAGGAGCTGTTCCACACCACCTGACAATGGAAAAAAAGTGACTTTCTTCAGTGGCACATTAAGTAGGAAAATCTTAAACAGTGATGTATATTGGTTGTTCAAACATTGTTTTGTAAACATTTTCAAAATATGTCTATATTGTCAGTTTTAATATTGAAATTGTTGTGTGGGTATATTTGTAGTGAAAGTTAAACATTTGGAAATAAAAAAAGATGGCCATTTGTTTTAGCTGAAATACAAACATATATATATCTTCTGTCAATGGTGGTACAAAAAAGCTATCTTCAGTTTATTTGAGAGTTGAAAGCAGGATTGGTCACACCTATTTTGTACAGATAATACACCATAAAATGTATATCTAGGAACAAAAAAAGTATCTTGATCCAAAATAAACGGTCACATATCTGTCAGAAATCCTTATTGAGACCTTAATCTATGAATCTAACTTATGTCCTATTATCGCAGATTTGGTCTATACCAACTCTTAAGGAAAAGGTTTAGATCTTCAGCTGCTAAAACATTTTATTTGATTAATTGGCTTTTTCTCTAAAATCAGCTCCCTTTTGCATCTAAAACTGACGCAATGAGATCCGTGAGAATCAACAAAAATGAACAATTGTGGATGAAAAAACAAAAAGTGAGCTGAAAGACGCTAAACCGCTTTCCAGAGCTCATGGGAACTACAAAGTCTGATGATAATTCTCTGAAGGTAAATCACTATTACATTTAATTTCAACAATTGCTATTACTCCGATATTATAAATAATGAATTAAATGTAATCATGGATTAACAAAGAAGCATCTTTAAAACTGATGGCATTGCTGCTGACACAAGGTCACAATGTAGGCCTACTTTATTTTCTGCTCTTATCTTTGTCGACACATTGCTGTGCGTTACCTGAGTGTAGTGACCAACAGGTTTTCCGTTGGTGGAGCCACTGGGGTATAGGTAGTGTGAAACTTCAGCATGCCAGTCAGTAATGGCGTCAGTCCACGAGTTAAGTGAGGATGAATAGAACAGATTCTCACCTAATTCATATCCTGTTTGTTGGTGGGAACACATGGCAGCACTGATTAATCGCTGTCTTCAAACACACCGTTTTTATTTCCATGTCCCAGTAAATCAATAAAACAGGCATCCCCCAAGGTGTCCCCCAAGGTTCAGTTCTCGGCCCCCTCCTGTTCATCCTCTACCTGCTTCCCCTTGGTCACTTAATCCGCCGTCATAGACTTCAATTCCACTGCTTTGCCGACGACATCCAGCTTCTCATCTCCACCAAGTCCATCTCCACTGCTACCCACTCCATCCTGACACACTGTATCACTGAAATAAAATCCTGGCTCCAACTCAATTTCCTCAAACTCAACTGCGATAAATCTGAGATAATAATCGTTGGACCAAAAAAGCTCACCACATCTATCCATAACTTCACCCTCAACATAGGCGGCTTCCCAGTTCAAACCTCTCCTCACATCCGGAACCTAGGCATCATATTTGACCAAACCCTCTCCTACAACAAATACATCAAACAGATCACCAAGTCAGCCTTCTTCCACCTCAAAAACATTGCCCGTCTACATCCATCCCTCTCCCTCACTGCTGCAGAAACCCTCATCCACGCCTTCATCACCTCCCGTCTGGACTATTGCAACAGACTCCTCTATGGTTCACCTGCAAAAATCCTCAAAAAACTTCAATACATTCAGAACTCCGCCGCCCGTCTACTCACCCACACCCTAATCCGTGAACACATCACCCCCGTCCTCATCAAGCTCCACTGGCTCCCCATCCCCCAAATAATTCAGTACAAAATCCTCCTAATGACATACAAAGCCCTCCATAACCTGGTCCCATCCTACCTGACTGACCTCCTCCACAGAAACATCCCACTTGCTCCCTCCGCTCTGCTGCTGCCAACCTCCTGTCCCCCCCGGACCAACCTCAAGTCCAGGGGCGGCAGAGCCTTCTCCGTTGCTGCACCCACCCTCTGGAACTCACTACCCCAATCCATCAGAGATTCTTCCTCCCTCACCACATTCAAAACATCACTCAAAATCCACCTGTTCAACACTGCATTCAACCACTGACCACCCCCCCCCTATTTTCTGTTTTGTTTATCTCTTTTTTTATATATATATATATATATATACACATATATATATATATATATACACATATATATATATAATATATATACACAATATATATATAGTATTATATACACAATATAATATATATATATATATATACACACATATATATATATATATATATATACACATATATATATATATATATACACACATATATATATATATATATATATATATATACACACATATATATATATATATATATATATATATACACATATATATATATATGTTTATTCTCTGTCAAAGCGTCTTTGAGTTTCTAGAAAAGCGCTATACAAGTCTCATCTATTATTATTATTAATAAATGATAATGATAACTTATCCTACTCCAGATAGTTTGTAATTAAAAGAATAACGTAATGTCACTGTGATTGATAATCAATCACAAGGTCAGTTGGTTTAAAGAGAACCATTAAATGGATGAACATCTGATATATTATTTAAGGTTCTGGCACAATGTATGTGGAGCAAGATAAGAAGAGACAAAAAAAAGAGACAAAGAATAAAATAGGATAAAATATACCATCTATCATGCGGGTGCTGGGCGCTCCATGAGCCAGAATACATTGGTCCACCCAGGCCTGAGCATTGACTGCTGCCTTTTCATCATAGCTCTGTATGAGAAATAAAGAAAAACATGTAAAGATTTTAACACCCACAAACATAATTGTGCCGTTATTTATTGTTTTTTCCCACACATAACACAATAACAGGAGAACATACAGTACAGAGTACAAATGCAGGTGCTATATAAAAAAGAAATACAAAAAAGATGACAAAACAATGACAAAACAATAATGATAAGATAAAAAGACCATTACAGTAATAACAATGACAAAAATAAACCAAAATACACAATGACATGATAAGACATGTTCTCACCGATTTAATGTAATTTTTTTGTATTCACACAAACAAGGGAAAACAAAAGCTAAGAATTATTAGCAAATATTATCTGAGCCACTTTGATTATCCGAGTACAAAGAAGGACTGACCATAAGCAGCATGTCTGAGGCACGCTCAACTGCTCTCCTCAGTTCATTGTGATAGTTAACGATCTCAGCCTGAACTGCTGGGTTGTCTGGGCAAATGTCTGCACACACACAGAGACACATACACTAAAACCAATGTGTAAACAACAGATTAAAAATAATACATTGATATTTACTCTGTTTGCTTAATATCTAGGCTATGACTCACACATATCCTGGTGTGGTAATTACTCTGAAATGGCTTGACATTACAAAAGAATATAGGGGTCATTCCAGAATTGGAGGACAATTTAGACACCAACATTTTTGAAAAATGAACCTTTTATTTTATAATTTTTTTTATGTATTTAGGAAAAACAGACCATAAACCATCAAAAAAAGTGATTTGCCCAGCTAGGCATCAAATGTATATGTTCCAATGAAGAATTACCCCTGTTACTCTAATTATAGTAACAGGGTTGAAAATCAATGCTAATTTGAGCTTTAACCTCAGGAATTATTGCTAGATATAGCATGTAATGCTACTTTCAAGGCAAGGACAAACTTGGATATCTAATGCAAGAAAGATAACTTGAATTGAATATGAATATGCTTTATTCTGATAATATCAGTAACAGGGTTGAGTGGGTCAGAGTGCCACACTCTTTTAAGACTGAAAAGATTGTAAAAATATGAAAAATAAAAGAGAGGACTTAGTTTTGGTCTACCCATGGCACTAGCACGTGGCTTGCTGATGTCACTTCCACTGTGTCATCTGATTTACAGTTTTTTCACTTCCTCTGCCAATCTAAAAACGTTTGGGGACACACCTTTTGTGCAAAATTACTGTTATTTAAAATATGTTTATGATTTAACAAATTGATTTTACCATTACAAGAGACATATATAAATAGAATAATACCAAAAAAAGTAAATAAAATCCCTATTTTAAATGTTATATTTGACATGCAAGTTGGTCACCAAGAAGCGGGGACAAGAGAAAAATGCCATTTTAGGGGATTTGATCATTTAAATAATATTTTGAAACCACTTTTTCTACAACTTTATATACATTTTGTCTCAAGACAAGTATGTTTAACACAACAAGTGCATGTTTTAGCATTTTGGACAAGGATTATTAGATTTTTTATATGGGGGACATGAAATGTCCTCCAATTCTGGAATGACCCATAGAGGGTTTTACCAAATCCTATAATCATAATGTGAGACTTATTGGCATGGTATCAGAGTTTAAACTGGAAATTGAAATGGCTCTTTAAACATGCCTGATGATGTTTACATTGTGCTTACCTTGCTGTGGACCGACCACGGTGCAGAAAGGTTCATTTGGAAAGGGAAGAAAAGGAGATGAAGAGAGGATAAAGTCAAATCATTTTACTTCTTAGAAGTATGTGAATCACAATTTAAATTAACTTAATTGTTGAATGTTTTGTATTAACTTCATTAAAACTTTGCTTTACTTAAACTTAAAGCTTCAACCGCAACTTTTAATAAAAGTAAATGTTTCATATTTGAAGAAACTGTCTCTATATCCTGTGCATGATCAGATAATCAGTTAACAAATATCATGTTTCTCTTTCCCCTGTGCTGCTTATGAGATTTGCACTGCAGCGAATACAAACCAATCAGAGCCATGGAGTTTGTAGTGCAGTGTCAATCATCATTTATTAACTCTAATCAAACTTTCAAACAGCAGAGCTGATCAAATATAAACCAATATTCGGTCACGGCCCGTCCACACAGCAGCGTTAAAAAATCTTCCAACGCTTCTGCCCATTCACTTTGAATGGGGTGACGTCACTTTTAGCTGAACTGCATTTTGGGAAGCGACGCGGAACGTTGCTGGCGTTGCTCGCTTCAAAAGTTGAGCAATGTTCAACTTTTGACGCCTCGGCAGAAGCGTCAGCCAATCGAATCATATGCCAGTACAAGCTCTAGCCAATCAAACCGCTGCTTGTGTGTCAGGGGCGGGAGATTCATGTGATTGGTTGTTGGTCGAGTGTCAGACACGCCCGCCAGCAAGCGTCAACGCACGCCGCCGTGTGGACGGGCCACTTTGAATGGGGTGACGTCACGTTGCCTCACTTTTCGCCGAACTGCATTGTGGTAAGCAAAGCGAAGATTTCCAGGATTTAAAAGTTGAGCAATGTTCAACTTTTGAAGCTGAGGTGGAAGCGTCAGCCAATCAAATCCCGTTTATGCAAATCTGACAGTACAAGCGCTAGCCAATCAAACCGCGTGCAAGCTGGGAGTGACATACCGCAGTTCATTTTCTATATTCCTAAAAATGGAGGAGAAATTAGTTATTGCGGTAGCAAATCACCCGGTTCTTTATGACCAGTCCCTATTAACTTACCGGGATGCAAACCGGAGGAACCAGGCATGGAGGGAGGTGGCAGAGACAGTGGGTGAAACTGGTAGGTTTTCGCCTGTTTGGGGATTTTATATCCAGTTTACTTCGTTTTAACTTTGCTATTGCTTTGTATGTCGGGGGCGGGAGATTCATGTGATTGGTTGGTCGCGTTGCTTGCAAAAAATCCCCAAGCTTCAGATACGCCCACCTCCAAGATTTTTTTAACGCGGTTGTGTGGACGTACCGTCACTGGTCACCTATTTCTCTCCTCAACTGATTTCAGAAACATATATAGGCCTAGGCATACCATTTAGGTGTAAAAAAAAGAATTTTCCTTCAGCGGGGTAGTGCCTTTTTTTTTGCTTTTCAAAAGTTTGGCAGGGTCACAAACTTTGGTAGTCTTAAAGTAATGTTTTATTAATATGTTCATGTAAAACCTTATTCTGTTAAGTACACCACAATGCACAATATCTGTGTCTAAAATGTACTTAAGTCATACAAAATAAAACTACTCTATAATGTATAACAATGCTCTATAATACTCATACTTATAACATTTACCACATTGCAGGCAGAGTTCACTTGCTGCACGGTCAAGATGCAAATCAGGAAAGCAAACATTTTCCTGTAAAAAATAAAGCTTTAGTAAGACAAAGTAAGATTGCAGTAAAATACTTCCTGTCACATTTTTACGACATGACACATTTCTCCAGTTAAAAAATAACGTATATTTATAATATAAAAATAAAAAGAACAAACACAAGGTTTACATGATGATGTGTAAATGACAGGTTCCCCCCCTTTATTGCTTGGTATTTTTTCCCAAATAAATCAATTTGTATCTTCAAAAGTTAAAAAGAAATGCTGAACGATATGTTAAGGAACTTTCGAAGTGTGAGGCTTACCTGGTCCTGGGTCTTCATGAAGTTGAGGTGAGTATGCACTTTCCTCTCCCTCCTTTTATAGACCCAGTCTTAGATAAAGCACATTCCCCTCCAGCTGCTAATGATGCAGGATTACCAGGGCTTTACACAATTGATGCTGGACAAAAACAAGTCTTTCACGCAGGACTGAAGAGGGTTTTTCTTTAAACTAGTGCAACACACAGAATAAATAAGGAATTGTTTATCCCAAGGGTGTAGTGCAGTGGTTCAAGTTTACACTGCATAGAATGGAAAAGTGCATGAGGTAAAGGTAAATAAAAGAAAAGGAACATTTGTAGATTACAAAACATAGATCTGTGTGTTCCTGTATGTAAATGGATTAAAGTCATACAGCTCATGTGGGCTAAAGACGCACCCATTATTTGCTTTGGCACAAAATGCAGCATATCAGAAAGATATAAGACCGACTACTGACTAAACATAATTAATCATTTTAATTGAGGACGTTTTAAACATACAAACAACATATATATTAAAGGTGGGGTAGGTAAGTTTGAGAAACCGGCTCGAGATACACTTTTTGTTATATTCCATGGAATGCTCTTAACATCCCGATAGCAATGAATATCTTAAGTGCTTTGACAACAAATCCATAACAAAATGTAATCTGTGGAAGCCGTAATACTGTAAAAAGCACGACCAATCATCTAAAATATAACTGGATGGCCTACCTGCCTGTCAGCCTTCCATCTGTGCACAAACTTATCTCGTGCCCTCATTGGTCATGTGTGTGTTGGAGGAGGGGCTCTGTAAGGAAGTGGCAGATTTGTTCCGGCTGTGTATTTTCAAATTCTAGCGCACTCGATGTCACGATCTGTCTGTGTTGTGTTGTGTTTTGTCTTTTTCTGTCTTTGGTTTCATGTTTTAATTTGAAAAGTCTTCACCCCCTGTCTTGCCTGTCGCTTTCTGTCTGTTTTCCCTCCTACCTGATTACCCGATTGTGTTCACCTGGTGCCCCTGTGTTTTCTCCTCCCTCCTCACCTGTGTCTTGTTTGTGTGATTAGTCTTGTGTGTATTTACTGTAAGTTCTGGTTTTTCTGTCTGTCATTGTTGGTTCATTGTTTGTCGTTGACTGTGTTCACGAGGTAGTGTTCCGTTTGTTCCTTAAAACCTTGAAATAAAGGTATTTTTTCTGTTTATTCTGCATTTGGGTCCTGCCTGCTTCACTCACCCTAACTGGTTTCTCCAAAATTACCTACCCCACCTTTAAAACACTATCTAAACTGAAAAAAACTCAAATTATGTCAATGTCAATAATGCTGCTTAGTATTATCTAGAAGGAGATTTATAAAGTAACATTGAGGGAAAAAAGATTTTCATATGTGATAACCAATATGGGTTATAAAAACTTAAAGGGGACCTATCATGCAAAATGCACTTTTTGATGTCTTTTATGTGTCCCCGGTGTGTCAGGGAACTCACGCAGCGTCAGAAAATAAAACCCTTTCTCTTTTCCTCCTTACCCAAATCTTTTAAAAACAGGGGTACAACGAGCGGACACAGATTTGTGAATAACAGCAAAGAATAACAAATTGGAAGGAAAAAAAGATTTTAAAAAATACAGATTTCAGTATTCTGAGGCTCTGAGCCCCATTTCTTTTTCTCACAGACGACAAAAAAAGTCCGACATTATACGATTTAAAATAAAAACAATAATCGTGGCTTGATATTGAGTAAGAACATGTTTTTATGAACCCCACAGCTTCCGGTCTTCCAAGACCCGAACGGACAAAAAGACGTGCTGCAGGCACGAAACATACTACCAATAGAAATACATTGTTTTTAAAATCGTTCTGTGTGACACGAAAAAAAATGGGGAAATCGTGTTGGTGAACACGAATCAATAGATTAAATGTCGTGACTATAATACGAAATGCCGTGAGACTGGGTTGCATAGTTAGGCCTTGGTAGGCCAGGCTCACTTTATGCTGCGTTTCCATTACAGTTTAGTAGCTGGGGCAGTAACTATAGTAACGCAGTGTAGGTGGAGCCATGACGTCATCTTCAATGCGAACCACAGAAAACCAACATCAGCCGTTAGCTGTTAGCACTCAAGCTCACAGCTCCTCATATCTGTTCAGAAACTAGACAAAAGTTAAACAAGTACAAACCACAGACTGTCTGTGTCATGGCGAATACAGTCGCTGGTTTATTTATGTCTGTATAAGCCATTGTTGTGAGTGTGGACGGTCGGAGCATATATAACGTTAGCTTAGCCAATCTCCATTCAGAAAACACGCATTTTAAAAAGTTTTTCGCCTGCCGTCTGTCTGCAGACTTGTCAAAGAATTAATTCATGGTTTTTACTAACCGGTATCAGTATGTTGTTACTTCGGCGTCATTTTTTAAACGTGTATTACAATTAATTAACGGTAAAATATGTTCATTTTGATGTAGTTGTAGCCCCCTTGCCAGCGATTCTCTCACTAGTTTAGCATATTCAGCCCAGTTGTTGGCCCGGAAAGAACCTGGATTTTGGAGAGCCAGAAAAACTGTGAAACAGTACCCGTTAGCCGGTACTACCCCTAGTGGAAACGCAACCAAAATGGGCCGGGTTTGGCACGGCACGCTTAAACCGCGCTGTAGTGGAAATGCGCCATAACAGGGCTGCAAAAGAGGGGTATGAGCAGTATGAGGCATGGCTACAATGGGTGATCTGTTTGGTATTTCAAGCTAAAAACTTCACAGACATGTTTTGTATAGGTATGGCCCAACAATATATTTCCCCAATATCGCATAATAGGTCCACTTTAAATAACATCCAAAGAAATAAAGACTTAACTGCAGGCCACACGATATCATTAACACTAGGACAGCAAAGAGCACTGATTATATTAAAAACAATATCTCACAGATGATCTGTTTTGAATTAAGCGGATAATACTGCACTGGAAGAATACAATAAAGAGATTGTTTATCATGTGCATTTCAATTACAGTCATACATAACTGCATGGCAACAGGCAGAAAGATAGACACTGCCAATTCTCGAGACAAATTGCAAACATGGCTTAAAATGAAGATATTTGATAAAGCTACAGTGTTTGAGAAGTGAGCTCCACATAAGCTTTAAACTAACATTACAATAGAAAATGCAAACCACAGTAATTTGTCCTCAAGTGTCAACAGTGTCAAATGTCTGCAGTGATCAATGTCATGGGTGCAGTGCTTCATGTACCACTGGGACTGTATACATTTGGATATGTTTTTCCTTGAACTATAACTCTTCACATAGGGTCAGAATAAAGGCAGACCATTTGAAGTAATAGCCGTCATTATAGAGCAGAATGCTAGACAACCCTGAGTGCAGTTACAGGCGGACACCCCACGCTGAACACTGACAGCCTAATGTACGTGGCTCTGTGGAAATTATGCGAGAAAGGTTGAAGTCTTTTGTTGGACATATGTTCTTGTTTGCCCCTGTAGCTTTCCTCAGATCAGAGGATAAAAGAAAAAAACTTCTGAATGCATGCCCACTGACAAAAAGTCCATACATCCGTCTGGTTCTATTTAAAAGCATTTGAATAGTAGAATAAGTACATTGATACATTCGCACTGAAATTAGAAAGTGACTTTTGTAGCTTTATTCTTTCATTATAAGTATGTAAGGGAACCTTTATATTACTAACACACAAGACGTCGCATTTCAGCACCGAAAGCTTTTGAGCTTTCTTCGATGTTCCATCATTCAGGCATTTTGGGCAATAAGTATAAATATTTGTCATTTTGAATTAATACTGTTAGTGTCACCTAATCACTATCTGATTGTTGGTTTATTCAAAAGGACCAGACATTACAAAATAATACCATGCAGTAAATGCACTAGAGTTAGCCAAAAGCATATCTATTTTGTCTGTAGTCCCTAGACACAATTTACAAATTATTCATGTAAACTCAAAAGGTATTGCAATATGATAAACTATATAAGGATGCAAATCAATTATAAAACAGGGACTTTAAGATAATGTGCCGTACAGGACAATATAATCTGGTTCTAACTCCAATAGAAGTACATTTACTTCTGAGTGGAATATTTACACTGCACAGGATCTATGGAACAATAAAACAAAGCCACAAAGGAAGACATATTCACGCCATTTAAAGACTTGCTTTCCAATCTGAAACACTGGGGGGCACTGTCACATCTCTAGTCACCAAGAAGACATCTGTGATCTTTGTATAACACTTTGAATACAAATACGCTGTGATTGAAAAATGTAAAAAATGTCTACAGCAGAACCAGGAGCCTCATTTAGGATGTGCTTTGTTCCAATCACAATTCCGTCCAATCAGCTGTCTTTCTGCGGCCTCAGACACTCATGAAAGACTGATGGTTCAACAAACACAGCTTTCACAAACACTATGCATGGTTTACCATCTTTATAATTGTCTCAAATTATTTGTCCCATCTCAGTTTCCCACAGTTCTCCATTGGGACATTTGGCAGCGTGCGCTTTGTGGCTGTAGGGTCAAGTGTCCACCAAGTCACAAAACATTAAAAACACCCAATTTGGTCATAAACAAAAAACGTGATGAAGTGTAACATTTGAAGATGACATCACGTAAATGTCATTTCCCAACATTTGCATGTGTTATACAATTTGGCATGTTTTTATAGCTACTGGCATATTGGCAATTACACTGTGGGTGATCATTAGTGTCATTCAGGCCTCAGCTCCAGGACGGCTTCAGCATCTGTTTAATCTCGCTCTGTTTAAAGGGATGGAAAAGCAGTCAAGCAATCTGTCAATGTAACCAGTTTCTCTTCCTTCTATTCTTTAATACTGACCCTGAGGTCTCTCCACGGGTGTTTAAAACATATGATTTGCCAGAACGACCCTTTTTCCCTTCCTGCACTGAACCTTTTTCATGTGAAGGGGATCTAATGCTAAAATATGCCCTTCCAAAATCTGATGGACATTTCCCAGATCTAGATACATGTGGGCAGTTTCCACTTATGCTTCCAGGAAGGGGGATTAAAGCTTAATGGGGCTCCTGATGTGACAGCAAACAGAATTAGGAAATCTCCATCTTTAAAGAGACCTATCATTAAATTGGGGCCTGGAGATTCCAAAGTAACATCTGAGCGACACAATGAGGGCTCTCCTTGAAAAATCAGCTACAACCCTGGCAAATGAGCAAGTGAATCCCCCATCAGGCGATAAATGACTTTAAGAAGAGCCCAATGTCATGAGCACATTGTGTGAAAGACTAGTAATTCTAATCACAGTATGTGAGGCTCTTCATCAGTAATTATGGCAAACTCGTGAAAAGGCAAGCCCCCCTTTGTCTCTCTTGTTATTCAGCCGCATTATTCAGATGTATTGTTTCGTAAACAAAACTGTTTCCCAATAGTTACCAAGGCTAAAAGAGTCACCATTGTAAAAGATGCTCATTCAGCACCTTTAACTTTAAATGATATCAAAAACATCTTTATATTTTTCGTCTTTGTAAAGAAATGTCTAAAAAGAAACTGCACCATGATAAGATTCAAATTGGATGTGATGCATTCAGTACTCACGTTAAGGTAGAACTTGAAATTTGTTCAATTAAGTACTGTGAGATAAACCAGCAATAATCTCCGCTATGCTCGCTAGCTGGTGTCTAAGTCTAATAGTCAGAAACGTGCTGCTTGTCAGGTAGTGTACGTTGGATTTAACAGGCCTTTTCTGCTGAAAACGGCTGCCTTCATGTGGCTTCAAACCAAAACAAAACAAACTAAACCAATACAATGACCTGAAAGACACTAAAACGCTTTATATAATGGAATCCAGATGTGGGTTATCATTCTCATTACAAGCCATCCCTTTTCGATGCATGTAGTCTTGTGTTGATTGATTGTAGCCAGGGCCGTTTCTTCCCCGTGGCCACTAGGGGGCCCCCAAGCTGAAAGTATTTTTTAGTCTGAAGAAAGAGGCATATTTTTTCCGGTTGTGTACTTTCAAATTCTAGCGCACTCGAGCTGGTTTCTCCATTCTTACCTACCCTACCTTTAACTCTTTTTAGGGTGCATCTATATGTTTTATTTATTTCAAAGTGTGCCCATTTTAATAATATTTTGTTTTCCTTCAAATGTGCAGAGGACTCCCCAAGTGCTGTGTTTAATTTATTTTAAAGTAGGCCTGTGTATTATTTTAAATTCTCCTTATAAGAGTTCTTTGTTTCTTATTAGAGGTTAACAGTTTTATATCATGTAATAAATAGCCTAATAAATGCAAAAAAACTGTAGTTTTTGTCTGATATAACAATAAAAAACTATGAAATATGTTTTGCGGCTCCAGACAAAAAAAATGTTGGGAAAAAGGAGCAAAATGGCTCTTTTGGTCAAAAAAGTTGCAGACCCCTGACATAGGTACACATGCACTTGGCAAATGAATAATAATAATAATAATATATGCATAATTGCATATAAACATTGTGAACACTTATTTTCAAGTGACTTTTTTTACATTCATATGTTCACGCTGTGGTTTGGAACTGCTTTTGAATGTTATTAGGCATTTTGTTATGGAAAATGTTGTGCATAATCAGTACTGTTTTAAGCTGTACTATCTCAACACATTTGAATAGATTGAGTTTTTTTAGATATGGGAGTTGTGTGTTCATATCATGGTTCATATTTACCAACACCACAGACTATTCGTAATACTTATTTTTGGGATGTTATTATTTTTTGTAGATTTGTTGAGTACGTGTTCCCCCATATTGCTGCCCTATTTCGGAGCAGTAGTAAAGGTAGGGGAGAAATAGAGTTAGAGTTATAAAGAGTATATTTTCTTCAAGAATGTTCTTAGTATGATACAAAATACCTATTGTCTTTGACAGTTTAGTCTGTACATAATTTATATGGTGCTTCCAATTGAGTTTTTCGTCAACAAGCAGTCCTAAAAATGTACATGCACCAACTTTTTCTATCTCGGTATTGCAAATCCGTATAATGCAGTCATTTCTACTCTCAGACTTTGTATTGAATAACATGTAATTTGTTTTGGCCACATTAAGGGATAATGTATTAACTGCAAACTAGTTACATAGTATTTCTAATTCTGCATTCACAATTTTAACAAGTTCGCCAAGATTATGATGGGAGCAGATAATTCAAAGTTCAGGTTCAGCCTCAATATATTTGGGGAGAATTAAAATGAGCCGTCTTTATTTGTAGACAGTCAAGCCCCCTCCTGTGAGTGTTCGGTGAAGCATTATATGCTTACAAATCCAATGTAGGATATAAACACGACTAAACTGCAATGATAGCAAAGCTGTGGCTTGGGTTTTTGGGGTAATAAAGTCCAAATCATCGTTGGGCTGACAGCTGAGAAAATGCTGCATCTCTTGCATTTATTGACAGAGGAGCCTTATTGTTTACCTTTTTAATATAATTTTTTGTAATTTTCAATTGCTTGGTTTTCGTGAAATTAGCCTGTTTTCCTATTAAAGTGTAACAGATTGATGCATCTCCACAGATCATCTTAAAGGCTTCGGAATCCCCCCCATTGTAGTTAAAAAACTGTCAAAACTAGGGCCCCCAAACAGCATCTTGCATAGGGCCCCCAAAAAGCTAGAAACGGCCCCGATTGTAGCTGTAGAAAGGCTGATAAATATTTAATCAAAACAGTCATTGAATTCTGTACAACGCAGTCAGCACTAAAGGCCAAACCTGGGTCAAACCATACAGTCATTTACTGTGTCCATCAATAGATTTTAAGCATTGCAGAGAGTTAATGACAGAGACGGAAACTGTATCCTGATGTCAGCAGTGAGGCAGATTTGTGTTTGCCTCAAGCGATGATGCTCTGTAAGGACATGGATCAGCTGTTGTTGTCCCTTAAGTAGCAGTAGTTGTTGTTGTATAGGAAATCACAGTTTATGTAACAGAAGGGTGGTGTTTCACCAGAGTGGTCGTCCCTCGTACAAATTGGCTTAAATAATAAATACAGAGCCATAGGGGGTCCTGACCTGGACATTTAAAATATGTATTACCACTACAGAGCAGTGAAGTACTGAGGATTACACACACAAACACACATCTGTAACCCTTTACTCTTTTTTTTAGTCAAACTCATCACCAGCCCTGAAAAACTGCATTCACAAAGCGTGTGTGTGTGTGTGTGTGTGTGTGTGTGTGTGTGTGTGTGTTTGTGTGTGTGTGTGTGTATTGACTATATGGCACAGCATTCTTCTGCTTTCCGTCTACTTCTCTCCATCTCTCTTTCTCAAACAAACTATTGATTCGTATTTCTGTCTGCCCCATCTTTCTTTAAGTCCTTCACTCCCTAAACAACACCCGTCACCCTTCCTCCCCCTCCTTCTACCTCCTCTCTCTAACTCTGGTATTTCCCAGCGAAAGCCCCCTCCTCACCTCCCCTCTTTTCTACCCCCTCCTCTCCTCAGATGGATTCTTCAGTCAGCCGAGTGGAACTGGTGCGGCTGCTGGAGAGATAGGCAGAGAGGCTGTGCTGAACAGACGCTGGGTCAGAGCGCTCAGTTGCTTCAGACAATCACAGGGGAGCGAGAGAAAGACACAGGAAAAGAGCAAGACCACATAGAAAGATAGATTTAAAAGAGAGAAAAGGGAGGGAGACAGGGGAGGGAGGTAAATATGTGACAGGATGCGGTTTCCCTGAGCTTGCAGAACATCGGTACACAGGCATACTTTGGGCATGACCTAAACACACCAAGCTTACAAGTGTGTTTTAGCTCTGTTTGCTGGCGAAAGAAGCAAACCGCTGGAACCGCTGCTGCTGTGCCTGTAGACGCTCTGGTTTGTCTGCTCTGTGCTGGAGGATTGTGTTTCCTTTAAGCCATTCAGCTCCACAGCAGTCAGCTCATCTGACAGGATCTGAACCATTCCTGCCACCAAGTAGAATGCGTTTCTCTGCTGGAAGCTCTGCTCAAGTTGCTGCCTTCATTTCCAAGCAGTGAACTTTTCAACCAGATTTGTGAAACAGGTAAGTTTGCTTCCTGTTTGTCAGAGCCTACAACATGTGTATGAATTTGAACTTGGGGACAGATGTTTGACTGAACGCTCACCTGATTCTCTGGACAGCAGCCACTGTAAACTTGTGCTGCATGTTGGCAATTGCTTACCACAGAGATTTGATTAATTAGAAGATGCCGCAAGCCACAAGTTTGGCTTCTGAGCCGTGAGTTAGACTACAAGCCCTTAATCCACTGCTGCTACTTCACACACACACACACACACACACACACACACACACACACACACACACACACACACACACACACACACACACACACACACACACACACACACACACACACACACACACACACACACACACACACACACACACACACACACACACACACACAGGCTATTCATCATGCACATCAATAGGTCTGCTTGTTTTTAAGTCACATGCATGATGGATGGTACAGAGCGGGGCAGAGAATGCCAAAAATGTCTACCTGGATCCAATCAAAGACCCTGACAGTGTTTCAAGATGTGTCCGGCTTACAGTATCACACCACTCCCACTGGTGAGGAGAGAGCAAGGGGAGTGTGTGTTTTGTGAGCTACTGTATTGTTCTGTACAGTAATGAAGGGTAAACGTATGGGGTTTCCTGTCTGTGTTTTCTTGTGTACAGCATGTGTGCTATATCCTTGTCTGTCTGTAGTGGATGTGTACATGCTGAGAATATTTGCTCCGGTCCATGAGTTCACCAAAGCATGCGTGCATTAACGAGAGAAGGAGGTTTAAAGGGAAAACAAGTTGAGCGATGGCAGGAGGTGAAGGAAGGGCGGGGGAATGTCAGGGAGGAAGAAGACTAGGGCATGAGAAAGAGGAAAAGCCAGGGGAAGAGGGTAGAAAAACGTGTGTGTGTGTGTGAGAAAGAGAAAAAGTGAGTGAGTGAGCTCAGTCTGACTGAACTGCTGTTAATTAGTTCCAGCTGGTGAGCTCTGGAGCGTCGGGCTGCGATAACTCTGCTGTGTTGTTGGGTCAGGAGTTGCCTCTGTTTCAGTTTGTCTGCTGTCTAAAACACACACACACACACACACACACACACACACACACACACACACACACACACACACACACCCACACACACACACACACACACACACACAGAAACATTACAAAAGGTTACCTAAAGGGCAAACAGCATATGGGCAGCAACACAAACACTGATACATAATTTGCACAAACTCCCGCACACACAAAGAAAAGCATAACATTTACAAAAAAAGAAACACAACACATGTTTCTGGCTCACAAACATGTAAGACAAAAAGGCACCAACAGATGTAAAACCCACCCACAAAACATGCATTACATTTCATTTTCATTTCATATACAAAATGCAAATAAAAACACAACCACACAGTTAAAGTGTATAAGTCACTGGCAAAAGCCCACTGTTAACAAATTGCTAAGGGCAAAAGATCCTTGTGCTGTATGTCAAGCATATCAAAGGGTAAATGTGTGAATATGTGTAACATGGAATTAACACATGCATAACCACACGTGAGCTTGCATACATGTTGAATTTTTGCGTGACATGAGCGTGCACACACACACACACACACACAAACACACACACACACACACACACACACATATAGAACACACACATGAAAACCCTTAACCCCAAATGGCTGTATCCTACACTGGCTGCTGGAAATGTGGAAGCGATTGTGGTTTGGCCTCGCTACGCTCCAAAGTCACATCGTAAAGGGAATCATAACACAGGGCAAAGGGTGAAGAAATCTTAAAGGGCAAATTCACCCAGATTACACAAAAAGCCATTTTCTCAATTACCTCAAGTCCTATGTTGCCTTTGAGATAGTTGGGTTTATTTGCTCTGGTTTGAGATATTGTTATTGGAGATATATACTGGCAACCAAATTCAATAGAGGTTAATGGAATGTTACTTTCATCAGTCACCCTCAGAAAAGGCCTGCTAGGCATAGTGACCAACATCCATTTATAATAAGTTATTAACCTTTACAACAGTAGTCCTAGTGTGCTAAAAGCTTTTACGTTATGGTTTATTAACAATGAGAAGGGAAAATGACTTGATAATGTTTGGTGGGAAGCTCGTGTCCCTCTATTTAGGATGTACTAGCATTTACAGAGATATTACAGTGATTTACTACTGGGCTTGTAATACAGTAGGTTGGGAGGGTCTACAACAGACCTGAAGCAACAGGGAAAACTATCTTTACTTTTAGTCTCTCGGATGGTTTGAGCTCTAAAATCACTGCTACCTTCATTCCCCATAATGCAACTCAATGGCACTTGGGTCTTTCTGACTCATCAACAAATTCATTCAAGCCACAGACATCCGGTTTCTTAACAATTTTTTTTTTCAGACTGAGTAATCTCTATGACGATTAAACTAAACGTTATTTCTACTCCTTTACTGGAGATTCTTAATAATAAAACACATGACCCCAAAACGTATAGCTAATTGTGAATACAGTATGGAGTGTTTTATTTTTTTCAGTATGATGTCTCCAAAAATGTATGTGAACAGCCTGACTCATTTTCTATCCGATTTCCTTTTTTTGCGGTTTATCTTTTTTCCGAGCCTGTGTTGATTTTCCTTCGCTCCAGTCTTTTAGCAAACATGTATTTTAATCAACTTATGTTTGCTATCTGATCTGGTCCCAGAGAATCCCCCTGTGAGGTGTGAAATTTGATTAAGGTAATTGGCATGAGTCGGATGGTGTAAACCATAATGTGTACTCTTCACTGAGTATGTATGTGCCCAAAGACAGGCACACAAAATACCAATACATTTTAGGGTGCATCTAATTGAAAGGTAGTTATTTTTAAACCATCTTAATCTCATTCTACTCTCATTTGGTTCAGCGCCTGTTGGATGCCGGAAAAACATTTCCATATGCTTCACATTTGGGACATGATTAAATATAAACAAATGGAGGATTTGATTCTAAAATAACTTGCCTTAAGGGGACTTAAGTTAAGGAGACTTTTCCTTTGTACAAAAAGTACAGACATTAGGTTATGACAATATATATTTATTACGTTGAAAGGGATATCTGTATTTAAGAGATGTACAGGGCTTAACTCCAAGTTCTTTATATTGTTGGATGCATTTTAAATAAAACTGGCATCATTTCATTTTGATTCGGCTTCATTATTGGCAGTAATATCAACTGTGGGCAGTAAATATGGCTGAATGAGACACTTTGTAGATAATGGTGTGAGTTTTGCAGTTCTCACGACAGGATATCACCATGAGTCCAGCCTCCGCTGAAAGTCTCACATCTTTTCCCTATATAATTCTCAGTTAAAGGCGCAAAGTTTATTTCCCCTCACTCCCGTGCTAGGTGACAGTGATCATGCTTTCAAAAATACTTACTAATTCAATCCTCTTGCAATGCCCTACAACTGAGACGGCATATTAGGATAAATCTTCCTGGCAAGACAGAAAACAAAAGGGCCAATATTCAGCCAGTTGTGTTTAAAGAAAATTAAAAGAAAACATCCCCCTTGATATTTCTATAAGGCAAATTGACTCCTGTTGTAATGGGTGGTCAAGAAAATTGCAGCAGTATTGATTTGGTAATGTTCAACACGGACATATCGATAGGCTGTCTGAAAACCTAAGAACTTGGCTTCGGCTGGCTTTAACAAAAAATTACCAGCCTGGAGCAAGTTCACAGAAAGCAATGAGTCACTCTCAGAAACTCTCTTGATAACCCTCAGTGTTTTAAAGAACAATTACAAAAAGGATTTCTTTCTTGCTTTCCTACAATGTTTTTATTTGTGTTTCTTTGGCTGCAGTTTGAAAACATCCAACACCATCGTTGTGAAGGTCGGGGTTGAGATCATGTTTTGCTTCTCACTTGTGAGAACTGTACAAATCCTAGCTTGGATAGATTTTGCATAACAAATCAGACTGTTGACAGTCAAAGACATGCAGAGAGGAGAGGAGGTAAACAGGATGATACGAATGTTTGCTCCTGCACACGAAGGAGGAGAAAAGGGATGCAAGTCCTGGTGATTAGGAGGGGTGTGATCTTATGAAAGGAGGAAACTGACAATGAAAGAGGGAGACGTCGAGAAAGATTGGTGCCTATTATTCTCCCCAGAAAGGAATAGTCATAGAGGGGTTGGTTCCCATGGCAATAGCTATTTCGATGTGTGTATGTGTGTGTAGGGACTGTACCCGGGCCTTGAGACTACATGGAGACGAGGCTGGCCGAGGCCATAGCGAACCGGAGCCACCCGGAGCCTTGAAACGGCGGAGAATCTCAGACAGACATTATTGCTTACTCTCCTGTTCTCTCTGCCTCACACATCACAACCTCATCTTCCATTTTTTTCCGCCTGTATGCTTTGCACCTATGTATCGTCCTTGGTCATTCAAAGCAACAACAAAAAAATTCAGCGAGTTGAAAAAGCAATTCCACCTTTGGCTCCCATGACCTCCTTGTTGGCAGCATGCATGATGGTTTAAATGTGCGGATGTCTCCCAAAACAAATGTTAAGCTTTTCTGTGGCATCTTCAATGTTTCAGGGCCTCTCACATAATAATTGATTCACTCATATTAATTAAAGCTTTGTGTCATAAATGTTGCTCCAGAAAATTATTAATTGAAAATATTGATCAGTGTGCAATGATGTAAAAACGTAACTTAAGAACTTTAAAAAATACTTGCTTAGTGCATAGCATTATAGTGGTGCACTTACTCTTTATACGTTACAGAAATCTTTAAAACAATGATGCTACAGTCTCCCATGCTTGTTTATTACCTGACCTTCTATTGGGGGTGTATTGTTCTCAAATGGAGACTTAAAGGAATACTCGTCTAAGATTAGATATACTTTATTGATAAGGGGAAATGTTTTCACCACAGCAGCACGTTAAAACAAGGCATTGCACATAATGTGAATACAAAAAGAGTAGAAAATACAAATAAAATGTTCCCCATTCATTCTCTGCATATTATAAGG